ACAAGAACCATCACCTTGCCCATTGCCTATTTCCAAATAAGAAATAAAAATAATAAAAAAAAAAACCATCATCTTGCCCATTGCCTACCCCCCCTCCTCCCCCCAAAAGTACCATTACCTTGCCATTAGTGAGAAGGTAATAGAAAAATCAAATTACCAACAAGCTTCATGTTGGCATATTGAGACATAATCACTTACCACATGCATGTTGGATCATGAATATTTTTTTAGGTGAACTTAGGTGAGTTTCATCGATAAGAGTAAATCTGATCATTATTGTGCAAAATTGTATAGATTCAATATTACCGATAAGATTCAAATTTCTATAGTACTAATTTATCGACAAAGTACTCATTTGAACTTTAAATAATATAAATTAACATTAATTTCACTGTTTTGCTTAGTATAAATATATTATTTATCGACAAAGTAATAGTTCATCGATAAAAACTTTCACATTAGTGATATCTTATTCAGTAATTTAAGATTTTTTAATTTAAAGACCAAATCATTGTCACTTGTTTTTCGAACTTCTGATTTTTAACAAACATTAGAACACTCTTATGATAAATATTCAAACTAATGACCACCAGAATCATAATTATCGAACTATAAATTAAAACAACTAAAATTTAAATCGCAAATTCTCTAAAATAATCAAACTAGTAACAAACATTCATTCTTGAGAAACAAACAAAAAAAAAAAGCATGTCCAAGGTATTCATTCATTTTTCTTAACAACCAAACTAAAACTAATATTCATTTTTAAAAAACAATTACAATGTTTTATATTTATTATTAAAATATCTCCACCTCGAGTCACACCACGTGGCAGGCAACCAGACAAGTAGCACCGAATTCTCTCGTGCACCTTTAACAATTTCCATTTTCCCTCCCTAATATCATTTACTCAAGTGCCCGCGGGACTGCGACGCCTCAGTGTCCGCTCTCGACGACTCCTTTTTCTTTTTCTTCTCGCACAAGCTACGGAGTACGGACGTCCTCTTCACAAGCACCAGAAATCCCCGCAGCCGTCGCGAAATAACAGAATGTCCAGCCGCCTCAACATGTCTCTCGACGAAATTTCCCGCACTAGAACGAGATCTGAAGGGCGATATGGTGTTCCCAGAGGCAGAGGCTCGAGTCATGGCCCAGGACCGGATCGTCTGGCTCCAACCCGTGACCATATCAGAGCCAACCCGTATCCTGTGCTGCCGGTGAGTTTAGGAGCCTGAAAATTTGTTTGGTGCTGGAAATGTCTTTGATAACTAACACTGTCGTTATTTTTTTGTTTATTTCTGTTGTTTTTGTTTTGGTTAGATGTTCAATGAGATGCAGGGAATGCAAGTGCCGGAAGCACTGTGGCAGCAAGATTTGACACAAAGTGAAATCCATGACTCTGAGGAGGGCACCAAGCTATACATATCCAATCTGGACTATAATGTCACTGATTCGGATATTCAGGTTCCTTCCTTGCAAACTTGTTATGTGTTAATTTGTCTGTCAACAGAGATGTTGGTTCTTTATTATTATTATTATTATTATTATTATTATTATTTTGAGGGTTTTGACGGGTAAATTTAGTATCATTAGTTGTAATGGGTTTTTCTGTTATGGATTCAATACTCTAATGTATATAGATGGGTTTTGCATGTTCAATTTTACCGTTTCTTATGTGTGAAAAATTAGAAAACCCAGAATATAGGGATGATAACTGAGAAAATGACACTAAAAAGATATGAACTTTTTTTGGATTTCAATGTGGACTATTGGGACGAAGCTGTTATAAATTTTGTTGAGATCTGCAAGTTTCTAAAATAACATGTTGAGTATATTATAGTTTTGGATTTAGTTTCCAATTCTTACTTTGGCATTGCTTATGAATGGTAATGTGTTATGTCTACCCTTTTATGTTGTAACTATCCTGTGGCTAACCCTCTTATTACCTACCAATAGTCAACACCCGAGCATCCGTGCTTATTTTAATAGATTCAATATATTTTTAGATGATTACATCTTCTTTGCAGGTGCTCTTCTCTGAGGTTGGAGACTTGAAAAGTTACTCAATCCATTATGGTATGAGTGGAAGATCAAAGGTATTTTATCTGGTATAAGTTATAAACCACTTTATTGTATTTAATTTTTATAGTTCATTTGTATTTATGTTGCTTTGGTTTTTCATTCCTTAGGGAACAGGAGAAGTTGTTTTCCGTCGCCAGACTGATGCCTTAGCAGCTATCAAGAGATACAGCAATGTCCGGCTTGATGGGAAACCGTTGAAAATTGAAATTGTGGGAGTAAACTTGGTTACACCTGCTCCTGTACCACTAAACTTGGGTAGACCTGCTCCTCTACCACTGAACTTGAGTATACCTGCTCCCATGGATTCATCTGAAAACATAATTCCAAGAAAAAGGGCCAAAATTGCCTCCTCAAGGTTTGAAGTTTAATGATGATTTTTCCCTGCTTTTTATTCAAGTCTTATGCACACTGTGTTTACTTGAATTCGCTATCTGTAATTTGTTAAATGTAATAAAACGTTCTCGTAGACTTCTTTTTCTTTGTATCTGCTGTAATTTTTTAATATTTCCATTTCAAACTAACATGACTAATATTTCATGATAGTATTCGAGAGAAGGTTGGTGCTAGAGAAATGCATCATGGTGGTGGTGGCCGTGGATTTGCGAGGAACAGGGAACGACAAGAACGCCTTGCCAACAAGTTGACTTTTGCAGATCTTGATGCTGATTTGGACAAGTATCGCTTACAAGCACTGCAGCAAAAAAAGTGATACCCCTTCCTACTCATTTGCTTGAAGATTAGTCTCTCTAGTTTATCAAGATTGGTTGTTTTTTGGCAATATTGGAAAAATGAAACTCACTAATTGATAGTTAATACTAATAGGATGCATCTAGAGATTGTTCTTTTGATACGAAGTGCTCATGAGCGTTTTGTGATGATAAATGAGATACTGGTAGATAAAATAACATCCCAATTTTGTTCGGCGGGGGTTAAAATGCTTGCTGCGGTGTCATCTCCTTGAACCCTTAGCATTGTAAGTTGATATAATTCAATGAGGCTTATACTAATAATTTTGAGCTGAATTGTAACGCAACTATTGTTGAGCTTCTGGTTTTTACGGATAAAAAGTGTAAATAAAGATATTAATTATATTTTTTTTTTATTTAAAGATGTTAACTTTATTAGTTTTTAAATAAGAATATTAAGTTTTAACTTTTTCTATTTATGGATATTAATTTTAAATTTTTTCTATTTAAGGATTAATTAAATAATGATGTTAATGTAACAAATTGATTTTTTAATTGAAATGTTAAAAGTTAACATCCTTAAATAAAAAAAAATGAAAATGAACATTTTTAGATAAAAAGAGTTGAAAGTTGACATTTTTATTTAGAGATCGACAAAATTAACATTTTTAAATAAAAAAATTATATAATTGACATCTTTATTTACACTTTTACTCGGTTTTTACGTTTACCATGATTTTTATTTTATTTTATTGTATTTATTTTTGACCATGGGAGAATTTGGGAGAAAGAGAAATGATTTTATAGACATTAAAACTAAGGTCTTGACTTTATTAAACCTACACCTTATCTAACGTTATTCATGCTGCGGGTACTACCATAATTTTTATTTTGGTTATGTACAAATTAAATATGTGAATGTGACAGTATCGGTGGGACATATTGGCACTTCATTCTTTGATGAGAAATGGAAGGAAAGAAAGTGAGAATATCGAACAGAAATAAGATTGAAGGGCTTGAAATTTGTCTGAAACTCTTTGTTATCCCAAAAAATCTCTTAACACGTGACAGATGAAATGGCGTGCCACTTGCTTTACCTCTTAGTTTATTTTTAATTTTGATTTTCATAAATTTTATATCAATTGAAAAATCAAAATTATAAATTATAAATTTGTCTAAGATATACTTTAACATAGACAACAAAAACTGTAAATTTATTTAATATTATTAATTTTTTTATTTCTTTAATAATTATGATAATATATTATAAAAATCCATGAAAATAAACAAAATAATAATAATAATAAAACCAAAAATCAAAATTACACTAGACGGAGATTTAAGAAATCAAGCACTCAAAAGTTGTACATCAAGCATATCCATAAACAGCCATTTCACAACAATTACAATCAGTGCAAAGTGGCTAAGAAAAAGACGTCAAACTTGTACATTTACACGGTCAAAATTGATTAGAAGAAAATGCAGCAGCCAAAAAAAAAAAAAAAAAATGGCACACTTTGGAGAAGTCCCTAAAAAACAGACACCCAAGGTGATGCCCCAACACTGGGATTCCAAAACCACCTTTTTCTGTGACTTCAGGTCCCACCTGTCAAAAATACAGGATCCCCAGTCTGTTCTTCATTCCAATCAAGGTAACTAGCCTCTTACGAGTTAAACTTGAGAGGATTTTATTACTAATAGATGGCCTTCAAAGAAAAAATAAATAGCCAATAATGACTAGCCCTCATGAATTACACAAACTAGAAGCAAGGCTGTGAGAAAATTCGATTCTGTACAAACAAATGAGTCTGATGCCACTGCCCACAAATTCTTCTGCGTACATGTGAACAAGACTAACTGTTTCACTGTAAACAAAATTAAAAAAAAAAAAGAAAAATTAATATAAAGCAATTGAGGAGATGGCAGATATTTTCAAGCCTGCATTCAGACTTTTAAAGTATATGATAAGACAAACAACCCAATTCTTAAATTTCAATAAGAATAATAGTTTGATTCATATATTCTAGATATGTAAAAGGATGTTTTCGAAGCAGTTCTGGGTAAAATACATATACAGACGAAGACTTTTACTTGGTCACTAGAAGGAACCATCATGGCAAAAACAACAGGGCTAGATTAACAAAGATTTTGCTGCTACTGAATCTGAACTCTGGGTGGAGAGAAACAAAAAAATCTACAAGGGAGAAAGTGAGTTGATTGGCCACTCAGATAATTTCCACAATTCCACAGCATTTAAAACTCAGTCACATACAGGGTTGACTACGTTGTTATTTAATAACTGAGCTGAGATGTGTTTTTACAAGTTATGCCTGGGATTTTGATGAATAGAGCATGTCTTGCTATTCCTAAGAAAAGGATTTGAGGGCAAAAAGGAAAAACAATACTTAGATAAAGACAATAATTCAACTACTTCCAGTCATAGGACATAAGGTTTAGCAAAACCCAAAAATCTCCAAATTCTTTAAAAACAATCAAGTGATGGTAAGGTGGCATTTAAATTTACAATGAAAAGAAAGATTAGAACACATAAAAAGGTGTGATTAAACATTACTAGGGATAGACAGTAGTACCTGAAGATATATTTAATGTCTTAGCTTGTAGCACCCAGAGAAACAAAGGCAGATGAATCAATAACTCCAGTTACTCCAAAATATTTTTCTGGCACTAACTGCTTAGAAGAAGGAATCAGTTATTTAAAATTCTAAGAACCCAAGAAATTCACAAGACAAATGTTAATTCATAGATTATGGGAAGCAGAGATCAAAAAGTTCACCTTTACCCCCTTTTTCAGTTCAAAAAACTGAGAGGCATTGATGGCTGATCTGTTTACAGAAGGACTTTGCCAGCTTCATCCAATTCTGAGCTCATACCTTTTAACCCCGTTTCTAATTTTGGAAGGCTTGGAATCTGAAACACTTGTTTAAGTTAAATAAAACTATTGCCACACAGATACTCTTGAGAACCAGATTCAATTCAAGATTATTTTGTGCAGGCACAAAGAATAGATAGTGAAATTTGGCTTCCAGAATCAGGCTATAAGTTGTGTGGATTGAAAAATCACAAGCATCAAGGGCAAGGAACCTCAAGCTGCAGAAGACTGGCTGCGGTATCTCAGAACATGGAAGTTAACTTGGTGGAGTCATCAATTCAATCAAGCTTAAAGATCATTTGACAGCTGAAGTATCCCACACATCTGAAGGTATGGATTCTCAAGCAGCTTTTCATTGTTGATCTGAAGATCAGGAGCATGGACCATAGATCTCAGTGACATGTAGGTAAGACTATTTTCTCAACAAATATAGCAATACCAAATTGCATTATACATTAGCAATTCCAATATAAAAAACTGACGGAAAGGGGAATTTTTACCTTCCCATATATCATAAGGTGTCAAGTATCAACTAGCATATAACCATACTAATTTAAAACACCCACCAATAAACATCTAAATGGTGAATGCAACAGTAAGTTTTTCCCATCAAACCAACAAGGCAGTTCAATTGTTACATTAACAAGAACACAAATAAACAATGAAATGTTGTTTGTAATGCTAGCCAAGTTGATTATTCAAGTCCAATATCACTTTTAAGGAATCACAACTAATGGCATTTTAATTCACATTCATTATGGAGAACTGATGTAAATCATAAAACCAAACCACAAATGTGAATATTCCACAACTGCATTGTAGAACTTTGAACTTCAAACAAAATACTGAATGAGAAATTACCTGCTGAGCTCTAAAAACAAGCTTTTGTAACATATATTGATACTTCTCTGGGTTTACAGTCATCATTCTCTGCAAATTGGATTGCTTAAATGGTTTATTAAAAAGCACAGTACTGAATTAAATGAGTCAATGGAGCTTGGGGCAAATGAAGGACAAAGTATTCTTGCCTTTAAAAGAAAAGCTGAAGAGTAATATGCTACTCTTGAATCAGTATCATCTAGAAGTTGCCTGAAAAAAAGCCTGATGACAAAAGTTTCACTTATTACCCCTTAAGCTGATAAATGCTACTCTTTAACACTTTGTTTGGATTGACAGTGAGGAGAAAGTAAAGTGAAGAAGGGGTTTTGGATTGTAAAGTCACTCATAAAAGGCAGAGAAACAGAGATTCACCTGAAAAAAGGTTCCCCCCCAACATCATCTTGGAAAGCAGAAGGATCTGCAGTGCATTTACCAATTAAAAGCAATAGAAGGGCAGCCCTAATATCTGAAGTGGCACCTGGTATGTTCCCTCTTCCTTTGCTTCCAACAGCAACACCCAAAGCAATATTGTCTGTTGCTGCACCAGCAAGTTGAATTAAAGGCCAATAAAATAAAGCAGCTGGAACACGGGCAACTAATTGCATGGGAACAACAGCATGTCTTTGAAGGAACAGCGCAGCCAACGAAGCTGTCTGGCACATCTGAGGACTATTAAAACCATAGCCTAATTTGCTATCTGTTTCATCCGTACATTCATCCCAGTGATGACTCTCTTGTTGAGAAACATGCCCAGTTGCATTTATTTTCCTATTTTCATCAGTGCCGTTCAAAACTTTACTCGGTTGTATCGCATCCCCAAAGGAAATTGCACTTGAAAGGGGAACTTTCAAGAACAATTGAGAGAATAGAATGTCACACATCTGTTCAGAAACACCAAGAAAGAGATTGTGAGGTATGCAGATTCTATATGATTCTTACACAGAAATGTTGCACAAGAATTACAAAATGCCAAAATTCAGTAAATTGGGATTAAGAAATCCTCAATTAACTAGGATGAAATAATTATATCTTTGAGGGGAAATAGGAATAGATAACCCATTAGGCAGCAACCACTTTAGAGCAAAATGCATAAGATGTGAGGTACAGTATGCATCAAATGCAAAAACCTCAATTCCATCAAATGCAAAAACCTTAAGAACAAAAAGGAACAAAGATTATGCATGATGATACCTACAACAACTTTCAAGGATATAAAATGAACCCATCAAAGAGATCCTTCTTTGTTTTACAAAAAATTTGAAGTAACTGAAATCAAGAAAAGGACAAGGTGTTTAAATTCCTTTAAAAGTCAATGAAAAGAGTACCTTCAAAATATTTATGTGGTCTGTTTCATTTATGTGGGCCAACAAGGAGAGAGCCTTGCTCATAATCTCAATCACTACATTTGCTTTCTCAAGTTGAGTATCTCTATCATGGCCAGCTTTACTGTTGGTTAAACATTGTATTTCACTCTCATCTAACAAAAATTTGCATTGCACAAGAAGCCTCTCGAGAATGAACAAGAAACCCCACCGAACGGAGCTGTTTTTTGACTTCAGAAGCCCACAAAGTAGTGAAATAGAGAGAGGCACATCAGAAGCTATTGAACCATCATGAACACCAGTATGAGCAATTTTATCTGACAAGCTTTCTATGTTAGACAATATATTCCCATTCCCAGCCCCACTTATTTCTGCAATAAGCAGATCCCCTAACCAGATATACCCATTCTGACGATAAGCCATTCTTTCTGAATGCAGAAGAGAATGTAGGGTTGCCCATGAGAGCTTCAATTTCATGTTGATATCACTGTGAGCACTGTGAGCCATGCCCTGAATGCCATCCATAGATTTGTAAGACTTGGACATCTGTTTCAGTTGCAAGAACTCTCCATCTAAATTTGTAAAAGAACTTATTATTGCATCAAATTTCTCTGTCATGCTCTCCAACAGCTGAAAAAAGGAGAAACATGAACATTATATAATTCCTTTCACCAAAAAAAAAAAGAAAGAAATAAAAGAAAACTCCCAGGTCCCTGCAGAGAAAATCTTGATTTAAAGCAAACCAGATTTATGAACTAAATTAATCCTTTTCATCCATTTTCTTCTATTTTCCTCCTGCCCTCCTCCTCTCCATTGTCCAAAAATAACCACCAATTTTTCAAACTAAACCTGATTCTTCCAGAATAGAGAGCATATCAAAATTTTGTAGTAGACCACTGAGTTCTATACTTCAATATATTCATGTATATGTGTAGTGCATTTGCATATGTGATAGTATATAGACACCCCCTCCCTTCCCACCAAAGAATAAAGGAAGCATATGCGCTTGCCAATGTGGATAAAAGAAAAATATTCATAATATTCCTCAGATATTACCATATTTAGGCGTTCACTGTTAGGATACATAGCCAATGCAGCAGAAATTGTTCTTCTCAAAAGCTCCCCAATACCTTGCACTCCAAGCTTAACAGAAATGTAAAACGCCTCAGGTGCAGCAGCCAAATTGAGCAAGGTTGCAAGAGGTCGTATATCATCATCATTATATTCAAAAACTCCAGTAGATGCACAAGCTTCAGTTATTTGATGCAAAACATAGTCAAAAAGCACCGAGTATAGATTTCTTCTTTCATCCCTTGTGTTTGCCAGTGAATACTGCACTTAGTGATTGAAAAAAGAAAATATATTAAAAGATTTCTAAATGAATAAGGAGAAGATTCAGAAACCATTATAAACTAAAAGGAAATGCAAAATGTGTTACAGTGTTCAATATATTAATTTAAATTTGAAAGACAGGTTAAAACTCAAGATGCAATCACAGATAGTCATCAATCCTTAGGTCCAACAGCTTTAGAAAGCACATAGTTAGTACCATCATTCAAATTGCTAATAACAGCAGCCCAGCGCAGTCTTATTTCTTAACCCTACAGTGTCAAATAGATTGGCATACCTCAGTGAGAATAAACTCAATTCCTCCAATTAGATCAACCTGGTCTACAAGAAAATTTGGGGTGCTTGAGGGTTGAATACCAGGTTCATCAGGAACCTCATAAAACATGTTTGTCAGGATGCCAATAAGCTTGCATTTAACAACTTCTGCCCAAGAATTTGCCATGCTAACCTGAACAAGTGCCTTGACAACCTGAAGATGTACACAAGTGAAAAATAAACTAACCATGAAACTCGTGGCTTTATAGACAAGTAGCAAAACTAACCTCAACAGCAGATGCAATGGGTGAACAAAAAGATATCGTGCAATTGGCTAGAAGAGAAAACTAACCCTTATGTCAAGACCTTTTAAACGATTTCTCCTGATTTTGCCTCTATCACAGACAAAATATAGTAAACAGCTTAGAGCAGAAGCCCAGATAGATTCTTCCTTCTCTTCCATCTACAATAAACAAGAGCAGAATGCCAAAAATAATAAGGATAAACAGCATAGAGTGGCATCAATAACAGATTTGCATAAAGATCTTTAAATTCCAGATCTCTATTTTTCACTAAAGAAATAATGATCGAGTTCCTCCCTGATAAAAGTGACAAGCTCAATATAAGGGTTGTATATAAGATGTACCTGAACTAGAAGAAGAAGTACTTCAAATAAAATGCTTAAGATCCAAGATTCAAATTTGTCAATAGCTGAGAAAGATTCCGCCACCTTCACTGAATCTATTTTTCTTATCCCTTCTGCTGTGAGTTTGTCCTCACAGTTCAAAATCAATTCTTCAGAATACTCTTCTTCAATTGTAGTAGTATCATCACTTAGCATCGGCTCCAACAACTGACCATGGACCCCAAGGTTCAGAATTAAATCAAAAGCACGCATTCTACAAGCTGCTTTTGGAGACTTCAGCATTTCCTGAAAGGAAGATCATGTGAAAAAACATAAGAAATAGAAGGTTCTTTCAAAATTCTCCACCATGAAGAAGTCAAAGTACAATTGATGTAGCACCTCAAGCATAGAGAGGATTAGTGGAGCAGCAGTTCCAGAATCCAAGACATACCTACAAAACAATTTCATCAATGCTGCTGTCCAACATCAAAAAATTAATTAGACCTTACAAAATAAGATCTGAAAGGAAGAGTGAAAGCATGAACAATAAAAGCAAAAGAATCAAAGTCTATCGCACAATCTCATGCAGAAATAGAAGAGGCTGATTGTGGGAAATCTAGTCCACTCAACATTCAAACATATGGAGTTCTTTCTTCTACAGGTGGAAGGAGCCCATTGTAGATGTATACACATACTGCCTCTTGGAGCAGTATTTCTTAGCTCAATAGGCCTTATGAGGGCCAATTTATAAGTCAACACATAACACATCATGACTAATTTAAAGATGAGATGATTACAACATATATCATGAATGGTCATTAAATAACAATGATGCATAGAATCTTTAAAGTATTTCAACAAAATGATATAACATTATGGATATAGATTTGAAGGGAAAGAATCCTCCCCAGCCTCTATAAATTTATGATATTAAACCAATTTATTTAAATTAGGCTACACATGAAATTACTGCAGGAATCAAACATAAATAAAATGCAACAACTAACAAGGCAAAAGCTGAACACATAAAATACAAGAATGCATGAAAGAATACTAATAAAAGAAAACGTACGTGTCAATAACAAGCTTAACAAGGACGCTCACAGCCACATCCATTGATGGCTTTCCACTGTTATTACTTAATCCAGGTGAGACTGTCATAATATTAGCATCCAGAGAAGATGTCTCAGAGCAAACTGCAGCTATAACCTCAGATACTTCAGCAGAGTTTAATCGCAAAGGTTGTTGTTCACTGTTACATATAAAAAGTATTTCATGAGATAAAATACATCAACTATGCATTTAGATGAATGACTTTGCACCACTATCAAAATCAAGCATTCCTACGAATGATATGGAAATTAAAAACCTTCACCCCATATTGCAAGAGAATTTTACATTTAGACAGAAGAAAAATATGATGCTTACAAATGGTTAAAATAAATCAAAATGAGGTACTGTTGGTTGATGCATTGGAATCAACTTAAAAGAATGTCACCAAATTAAATACTAAGGTGCTATTACAATTAAATACATGGGAAAAAAAAGGGGTCATTTTAGATTTATATGTAATACTAAAAAGCTGAAAGCTCATAAATTGACAACCAAAAGAAATTTATTGCATTCACTCGAAGTTAACATAACATCATAGAAACCAAAAATAGGAGACAATTTAAGGATCTCAAATTATGTATACCCGTAGTGACGGTATTGGAAGAGAGGCCGTGCTCGTGGGCGGAATGTGCTCATTGGAGGCTCATCCCTGGGGAGGAAAGGAAGTCAATATTCACATATCAAATATCAAATATTTAAACATTAATCACCAAGGAAAGCTATGCCTCAAAGATGGGGATATGGCAGCTGGGTACCAGGATGAGTGAGATCCCTGTCCCAAAAATGCCTGATCACCATTACTCCATGAGAAAATACAACAAGAACATCAAATAGATTTTTTGAAGAGGAATGACGAACCAAATATGATGAGGTCCAGCTTTAGTGCGTTTTAATGCTGTTACTTCTCTCAAGTGAGAACGGGCAGAGGCAGAATTAGTAACTGTTGTGACTGAAGCAGGCTGTAACAGCTGATCAAGATAAGGAAAATCAGTGGTGCCATAATATTTCCAATGGTTGCCCTTCATTCTAGCATCCATATCTCCAACAAGTAGAGCTGCTGCTCCCACTTCTAGGAAATTGGGTGTTCTCACATCTTGGATGTTCACAGCACGATCACTGTTTTGTTAATGCAGAGTTTGTCAGGTGATAAATTCATTTCTGAAGCAACAAATGACAGAAGAGTCCTATTTCCAAAAGTTAAAATGGGGAGTAATAAAAGAACCTGTACTATCTAAGAATTAATGGGCATATACATATATATTCAAGAAGAGACCACCTCTCAGAAAACGATGATGATAATTGATGTTCCCCTAGCCAGCGCCATTTTAGAACATCAAACGCAAGGTACTCCGGGTTTTGCAATCCTTCAAGTTCCTCAATATTTGATAAGTTTGAGACAGATAAAGTTGCAGTCTCTTTCTTTTCTGAAGATTCTCCATTTATAGGGCACAGCTGGGAATTGAAGGACCTACTTAACAAAGATGACAATGTTGGAAGTGACTGTCTTGATGCAAATGTAGCTCCAGCAAAAGCTGGTGGTTGGAATGACCGCTTTGGGAAATGTTGAGCCACTAGAGAACGAACATAATTCAAGGACTTAACAAGTGCCACACAAGCAAAACTTGATACGGGCAAAGAAGGAGAAGGGTTTGCAGATGCTGTTGACGAACCAGAATGTTGATTCAATGATCGAGACCATGGTGACAGTCTTCGACTTGGGTTAATATCACACTCGGCAATTATGATAAGACAAAATCGATCTATATGCAGTAATGTCTCCTCACTGGGCTTATATCTGTCAGAAATTATGATGAGCACTAACACTTCATGCAATGTAAATTTGGGTTCAAGGATCATCAAGTACTTCAAACCCATTTAAACATCAAATTAAAACAATTTCCTATTTTCATATGAAACAAAATTAACAAAGAATACAAATTTTCTGCAAAAATAACAACATACCGTAAAAGATACCGCTTCAGAAGTGCCACACATCTTCCAACTACAGCTGGGCTGGCATAAATTTTAGGGAAGTCAGCAGCCAAAGACTAGACTACTAGAGAGAGAGAGAGAGAGAGAGAGAGAGAGAGAGAGAGGAGGAAAAAAAGCTATCTAAAGGATGATACTTTGATTAAAAAGGGTGTGAAATTCTGCTCTAAAAGGAAAATAGAATCCAAAACATAATTAAACAGCAATTTCTCAATAAAATATTATGAACTTAAACACAATGATGTCCATTGTATATATGAATTTTGGGCATCTTATCTACATTTACATTTAATTTCAATTGATCAATTTGATGATGAAATCTTCAAGCTTTATATAAGTCCAGTCATTGCCCCCCCCTCTAAAAATACTATCTTTTCCTTGCTCAACTGTACTTTCAATCTTTCTTTTATCTCCAAAGCATAATGGCTGAAATTGCCCTCACCTTCATTGTCACAATGACAATAATTGGTATAATCAGAAAAAACCCCTAGGTTCTGTTTGGATTGAGGATTTTAAAGAAGGATTTCAGATGATGAAAGAATTCAAAACCAGTGGAGGTTCACAGATAAATTCACTGAACCCCCAAGAGCCATTTCTTAAAAAAGCTTCAACACTCAAACCATCCTCAAGCAGCAAGTCTAACATTGTTTGCCACAAGGAATTGCATGGATTCGTAAAGTTGTCAAACTGATCCATTACAGATCTATTGATTGTCCTTCAATAATTAAAGGAAAGCATAGGATAAAAAGAAACCAAAACCCAAGTTTCCTTTAGCAACTTAAATGACAGGTATGACCATACTAACAAGAAAAGAAAGCACTTCATAAGAACGATTTATGCCATAAAAATAACAGGAACAGACAATAAAATTACCTGCGCTCCCTCTCTGCAATTGTATGCTCTAGAATAACATCATAGGCCAGGTCAATTGTTGTAGGTGACGCCAGATAATCCTGTCATTTTTAAATAACCATGTTGCTGAAGGTTTGAAAATACATCCCATAACATTTATGCAGAAAACCTAGGGTCTAATACTCATGAAGAAATTCTTGATCAAAGAACTCTAATAATCAGGATTCAGAAGACCACAACTAACACGTTAACACAGGCAATTGAGAGTCGCTTCACCATCGACATTATGTTTAGAACATATGAAAACTGAAACTAAGTTAAGAAATGAAGCAAAAACAGTGAGCTGAAGAGTCACATTTAGCCCTCAAAAGCAATGAGGCCAACTGGTGAAGGAATGAAAATGCTAGAAAACTCTGAAGATTATTTTTTTAAAATAATTTCCTGCAGATCAGCCTTTTATAGACAGTAATAGAACATCAAAGTATGCATGAATGCATCACAATCAATGACCAAGCAATTAAAAATTAAAAACAAAATAAAATAAAAGCAAATGACATTTTTCCTCAATATATAGAAATAAAGATCTGCAAAAAGTGAAAGTCTCATCACTGATTATGTTCTAACTCAACTGAAGTAAGTCTAAATGGATATTGCACAACAATTCAAAATTAGGTAATAGTTCTTACAATACAACGTACTATTTGAATCAAAGATAATAATTTTTCTAGCAAACAACCTGGTCTCCCAATTAAGAAAAAGGAAATCAAATACTCTCCTCCCCCTTCACAACTCAAAAGTTGAAAGCCAGCAGGAGGTATCAATTGACTCTCTGGTACAATGACACAATTTTATAGTAATAGTGTACAATTTTAACAGAAATCTTGAATTTGCTTGCAAAGAAAATAAAGAATTTAAAAGATAACAACTAAAAGATATTTCAAAATCTTAAATTCACTATACTTTGACAATTTCCCGCAGAATTATCCACATTTCAAGGACAAAACACAAAACATAATGCTCTGATTATTTGTTCTTCTCTGTTCTTCCCATTTCTCAGCTACAAATACAGCAAGAACAGCACTATTAAATCATAAAACCATGAAAAGAAACTCAAAACATGCAGTAGAAACAAAATCCAGATTCCAAGTGCTCCCTGATCGATCTAATGCACGACAAGAGAATTAACAAAATAAAACCCACAGAGCTCAGCAAGGCAATTACGCACCCGAAGAGTCCTTGAAGCTTCAGATAGCAGCGTGGAGGAGCTCCCATGGTGAAACGAGCTCGGTCCAGACGCCGAGGCAGACGACAGGCAATCAGCCACAGCTCTTCGCAACGGCTCAGGCGGCTTCTTCACAGACGAAGATCTAAGCCGTGACAGACCACTGCCTACCACCTGCAGCCTCGAGCTCCCCGGACTGTAAGTCGCGGTCATCTGAATCGAGGAAAACCAATCTCCGCACAGCCAAACCTCCGGTTATCAAAAGAAAAACCGATTTTCCGATTCCGTTCCTTCGTTCTTGTCCTACGCTTTTCGTCTGTAAAGGAGCTTGATCTTTCCGTCTGTAATGGAGATTGATGTTTCAGTCCATTCAATGTTCGCACTACATTTGAAGGAGAAAGTTTGCTGAGGAGAGAACATTAAGCCATTATTAGCTGGCAAGCGCTAATTCTTTCCATTCTTTTTCCTTTATTTTATTATTAATTTTTATTGGGTTTTTGTCGTTTTTCTTTAATTTTGAGAATTAAATTTTAATAAATTAAAAATTAAAAGCCAAGCCAATCCAAATTTTATTAGATCTCCATTCGCCAATCCAAAGCTTCTTAAAAATTAAAATTACAATCTGGAAAATTAAAATTTTTTTTTAAAAAAAGAAAGAAAAACATGCAACTCATAAAATAAAATTACAACGAAATGGTATTCAGATTTTTGATAGAACGCCGTTAACATCGTCGGTGGTCTCGTCGGATCCAATAGTATCAAAAAGCTCCTTCACAAGCACTAGTCTGTTGTCGATGTAGACTTTTCCGTTCCACCCCTTTCCGGCCAGCTCCGACGCCAATTCCGTCGCCTGTTTCACCGTCTCCTCGGCACTCTCGCAGGCGGCATCTAATATCCCCTTTTCGACTCCTTGTTTGGCTGTGATTTTGGAGGCTTTGAGCACCATCTCGCGTCGAACTCTTGGATCACCGATTTTGGAATTTATCACAGCCATGAACCAAGCGGGGATCTTGAGGCCAATATTCATCTCGCTCATGTAGAGGAAACCACGATCTTTGCGCATGAGAACGTAGTCATGACTCAGGGCGAGGATGAGTCCGGCGGCTGAAGCGTGGCCGCAAACGGCGGCAATGGTAGGCATGGGGAGAGATAGGAGGTCAGACACTAGAGCCCGGAGTTCGGAGGACATCTGTCTGATACGGGGAGGCGATGAGCGAGCCCAAGCGAGATCGTACCCATTGGAGAAGAATTTGCCTTGGGAAGTGGTGACGAGAGCAGATGAGGAGTGAGACGTTGGATCTGATCGGATTCTGCTTAGAGCCGACCGGATCGCGCCAATCAGTGTTGGGTTTAGACGATGCTCGTCTTCCCCTGTTAAAGTCAACACGTAGATGTTTCCTCGCTTCTCTAAGGTGCACATCTCT